ATTGTTGTCGTCACTAGTTGGACCACCTGTATAGATAGATTTATATAGGCTTTATTGGGATGAGAACCTACATTAATAATTTGATGATATTCTCTGTAGGATAGGACCGAGTCGCCCTCGTCCGTGGGTGTAAACCCCGAGTTATTTTTTTTTCCTGTTACCCCACACGTGGTCCCTGGGTGGTGCAAATCAGGCGACAACCCACTGGTGGTAGGCAATTGCCGAGGCTAGTGACCACCCACCGGACTAAGTCGCGCCGCCAAGCAGCCTAGCTGTGTTCCGGTGCGTAGTCCGGTGACGCCGTTTGGGAAGATCGGGTCGGAATGGTCGCTCCAGTACTGCAATGCCGTTTTTTAGACGTACGCATCATTGTTGCATCGGGTAACTAGTCTCGGAGGGTAGCGGGATCCGAGGCACGGTGCACCGCTGGCCGACCGCAGTTAGTAGGGGGCCCAAGTAATGGGTTAGCCACTCATGAAAGGCTGCCCCGCCAACTCGCGAAAAATCCCGGGATGCGCCATCGTGCCGGTTGGCGACCGGACGAAAGGGCCCGATGGACACTCCCGGGGGGGCTCGGGCGTCCCCGCAGTCTCCGAACTAGCTCCCCATAAGATGCACAGTGTATGTGAGTGTCTACTGGTTGCGGTACTGAAGCCAAATCGTACATTCTACTTCCGTTTTCCCACCGAACAAATGAAACCTGAAATGAAACTTTCAACCTCACGATATGAAAAAAGGAAATAGAAAAAAGGTCCAACAGCGGCAGCACGCCCTTTCGCACAAAGTGCACCTCACCAACATTAGAGGACTGCACTCAAATCTCGTGCCAGTCCACCACCATCTAGAGACTCAAAAACCAGCACTGTTTTTCCTTACGGAGACGCAGATAGGATGCCCGTCAGACCAGGCGTACCTTATGTACCCTGGGTACAATATTGAGCACAACTTTAAGCCCCGTAGTGGAGTGTGCTTATACGCCCGGGACGATATCTGCTATCGGCGTCTTCGTAATCTTGAAGACCCCCGATTCTCGGCTCTGTGGATACTATTGGACACAGGCATGGAGAAGATTCTGTATGTCTGTATCTACCGGTCGCACACCGGAGACTTGGAGACAACAAGGCTCACTGAATACCTCGGTGAGGCGGCGGATTCAGCTCAACAAAGGTACCCTACAGCCCAACTAGTGTTCCTGGGGGATTTTAATGCACACTATCAGGAGTGGCTATTCCCATACCGGGTCACTGACCATGCCGGAAGAGAAACGCGAAAGCTCGCTTTAACTTTAAATCTCACCCAGCTAGTCCGAGAAGCTACACGGGTACCTGACACTGACTCTCAAACACCTAATTGCTTGGACCTTTTGCTGATAACAGATCCAGACCGATACTCAGTGTCGGTTTCTTCGCCCCTAGGTAAGTCCGACCACTGTCTGGTGAAATCTGTGTCTGTCTACTCTCCGCCCGATCCCAGCCCTAGAGGCACCCGGAGAATGTGGCGATACAAGTCAGCTGATTGGGATGGAATGCGGTCGTTTTTTGCGTCCTATCCTTGGCAACCCGTATGCTTCACCTCTGGCGACCCATCAACTTGCGCGGATGCCGTGACTGATGTACTCACACTGGGTATGGAGTACTTTATCCCATACTCAGATTTACCTCTGTCCGGCAAAGCTCGCCCCTGGTTTGGACCTCAGTGTGCACGTGCGGAAGCGCAAAAACATGAGGCTTATCTGGCCTGGGCCGATGCTCGACACCGCAAAGCAAATGATTTACGCCAAAAAAAAACAAGCGTATAACAGGTCTGCCAAAGCCTGCAAGAAGGTGTTACAGAAGGCTCGCTTTGACCATATTAGCCGGATTGGGAACAAACTTGCATCGTATCCGACAGGCAATAAAGCGTTTTGGTCCCTGGCAAAATCGGTCGAGGCGAACTTCTGCCGTCCCTCACTGCCTCCACTGCAGAAGCCTGATGGGACTCTGGCTCACACTGCTGAAGAGAAAGCAAATCTTTTTGTTTCTCAATTCGCGGAAGCCACGAGTCTTGATGCCCGTAGCGCGGTACCTCCCACATCATTTGGCTGCTCGACAGCGATGTCGAACATTCGCATTCGCCAAGCGGAGGTGCGTAAAGTCCTACGCAATCTCGATGAGAACAAAGCCAGTGGCCCTGATGGTATCCCTGCAATAGTTCTGAAGACCTGTGCACCCGTTGTCTCCTGTTCTGACACGCCTCTTCCGGCTCTCCTTGGAAACTGGACAAGTGCCTAAATCCTGGAAGCTTGCTAACGTGCAACCGGTGCCCAAAAAAGGAAGTCATGCCGACCCTGCGAACTACAGACCAATATCTGTCACTTCATTACTCTGTAAGAGCATGGAACGTGTTCTGAACCATAAGATCCTAGCGTACCTAGAAGCGAATGACCTCCTCAGTGATCGACAATTTGGATTTCGCCGAAATCGGTCCACTGGGGATTTTTTAGTGTACGCTACTCACATTTGGAGTGAAGCCATTGAGAAGCACGGAGAAGCGCTGGCCGTGTCTCTCGATATCTCGAAGGCTTTCGACATGGTTTGGCATGACGGCCTTATAAGCAAGCTTCCTTCGTACGGCTTGCCCACTGCACTATGCGCCTGGATATCTGACTTCCTGCGTGATCGGTCTATAACAGTAGTTATAGATGGCTGCCAATCACATCGTAAGGCTGTTAATGCCGGAGTTCCGCAGGGGTCTGTACTCTCTGCAACTCTTTTTTTGCTCAAAATCAACGATCTGCTTAAACCCGGTACCTTTGGGTATGCAGATGATAGCACAGTCGTAGAGAGCTATTTATCAAATGCGCGTGCCAGTGCGGCCGAAGTTCAATCACTCCGAGAAGCCATGGTCAACCGCTTAAACTTGTCCCTTCAGGCAGTCTCCGATTGGGGCGATGCCAATCTGGTCAAGTTTAATGCTTCTAAGACTCAGGCGTGTCTGTTCTCCGCTAAAAAGAGGGCGTTTCAACTGGCCCCTTCTTTCCGAGGTGTAACCGTGCCGGTAACCGAACAGCTCGAGCTTCTAGGAATAACTCTCACCTCAACTCTCAACTTCGGTACCTACATTGAGTCCAGAGCTCAACTGGCTGCAAAAAAGCTTGGCGTCCTCGCAAGGGTGCGGAAGTACTTTACTCCGGAACAGCTGCTCACCTTGTACCAAGCACAAGTTCGCTCGTGCATGGAGTACTGTTCGCACCTTTGGGATGGTTCTGCAAAATATCAGCTAGAGTCTCTGGAATGCATTGAGAGGCGTGCAAAGAAGCTCATCGATGACGACAAATTATTCGAGACTAGACTCCAAAGTCTTGAACACAGGCGAAAAGTTGCCCCTTTATCGGTTTTTTACCGGTTACATTTCGGAGAGTGTGCTTCGGAGTTACATAACTTAATTTCACCTTCACCTTTTTACCACAGAACCACCAGAGAGACGGCAAAACGCCACAGATATATCGTAGAAGTCCCACAAACTCGTACTAAACGGTTTGCTTCCACCTATATAGTTAGAACAGCTAGGTTGTGGAACTCTTTGCCGGAATCTCTATTTCCAGTCACCTATAATCTGGCGCTCTTCAAGTCGCGAGTCAATCGGTTTCTTCTAGGCATGCGCGTCCCACCTTAGGCTGCTACGTCGCTTTTCATCAGTCGCGTGGCCGTCAAGCGTAAGCCTATTTATTGTAAAAAAAAAAAAAAAAAAAAGTATATCTGTGGGATATGGATAGGTGTGTGATCTAAACAAAATACTGTATTGGGCTGCTTTCCCACTTGGGAGAAGCGAGGTAGGTAATCGGCACGCGAAGAACAAATCGACGAATAAGATTGCTGAGCTAACCGAGGCTATATAAATAACTATATATGCTATTGATAGATTGCTTTTAGGCACCTCACGCACCAAACGGCTATGACCACGACCATATTTCACCAAATCGACAAATGTCACCGACATATGACATCAACATGACAGGCTTTTTTTAACAATTGTCAATCTTCCGTATCTTACTTAAATGACAATTGTGTTGTTTTTATTTTAAATTATTTTAAGTCGACATCATTGTCAAATTGACAATAATTCACTTCTAGCTGCGAAAGCTTGAGAAGATAAGTTCTTATGCAGGAGAATTGAGAAAGATCGAATACATTACTCCATCGTTATTACTGATTTTGCGTTTAAAGAAAAAATAAATATAATAGATTACCCCACAACACAGCGTGGGCTTCGGTGCGACACTGTCACTTATGCAAAAACATTTTTTTTAAGGATGAGCGTTTAAAACTTTAACATCCCTAAACATACAATATTTAAAGATTTTTACGTGATGAAAAGCTTATTCAGCTTAGCTATTCATCTAAAAAAAATAAAAAAAAAACTTTAAATATTGTATGTTTTGGGATGTTAAAGTTTTAACGCTTCTCCTGAAAAAATGATTTTTTTGCATAAGTGACAGTGTCGCACCGGGGGTGCGATATGTCAACGATATAATTATGTCAGTTTGGTGAAATAGGGTACAGGTTAACTACAGTTGACCATAGCGGCCAAGTGCGCGACGATCGTGATGGCTTCCTTAGTTAATCTGCTCGTTGCGGCGACTGACCGTGGTCGTGGCCGTCTAGTGCGTGAGCTGCCTTAGGGCGAGGCCACAACACCACGTTTCGGCGTTAAAATCTACGACGTCGTACAATGCATCGTGGAATTGTACGATGCGCTGCTGCCGGACGTTTCGATGACTTTTTTTGCGTTGCGTGATCGCATCGTATTGTGATACGACGTCGCAACGCTGCGTTGTGGCCTCGCTCTGACTCTTGTCCAAATGTAGCTTGTCCTTCCGAGATTATTCTTTCCTTATAAATAAGAGTACTTCTGTTTTCTGAGAGCAACTGTATGTATGCTTTACAGTTGACATAAAGTTTAGGTGCTGACTGCACAGTCTATATTCACTTGCATTATGAATAAGAAATAAAACAAAATCACACTTTATAATACAGGATTTATTTTAATAATATTATATATTCAGATGTAACAGCAATTATTTCCAATCTCCTTAGCAAACACTCTATCACCTTTCCAACAATATTTACAATTTTCAATGTCATTAGCATATTAAAAAATTAACACGTTGAACGTTATAGAATGTTCTTTTCATTAATACACTTTTGGTTAATATTTATCTATGATCGAAGAGAATTAACGAAAACTTTTGCACCATGTTGATCTTTGAAACAATATGAAATAGCTTTTGTGATTTGCGAAACATACAGACTGTAGCTCGGATTACAGAAAAAAACTTTCTTACGAATCTGGCGACCTTACATGCACACTGTAATTACAATAAGGTACATGTTCGTACAGCGTTTTCGTGCACACATAGCTAGTTGCGAACTCCGCTTTACTGGTACCGTGTGCGTTATCTGTCTTGTGTTCTGTAATCTAAGACCTGTGGGTAACAGTTTTCGTAAAAACTTTCATAGTTAAGGTTGTCCTCATAACTAGGACTCCTCGTAAACATTTTTCGTAACTGTAGCGAAATACTGTAGAGCATTATATTTGTTTATTTTCACCTTTTAATCTCACAGAAAGAGAGAGAAAGAACGAAAATGCCAAAGAAAGAACTTACATGGAGATCTCGTGACAAATCTATGTAAATGACAATGTATAAAGTTCAAACACTAAGCAGACTCTTTCTGGTCCTCTCACATCCACAGTAATTTCATTTCTAATCTAAAATAAATTTACAGAACTCGGCGTGCCATTACATGACAGCCACAATAATTACATTCATTTTGCTAAACCCCAATGCAATTTACAATATAATTTATTATAAGTAATCTATTTAGTTAAGTGTTCTTACACATTTTTACGAATTATCTTATAATTAAATATTGGGAGACCAATGTGAAAATACTTGTTTAATTTTCATGATGATATTTCTGTATTTACCCCACCCACCAATCTTTATTAACAAAAACCAAATTAAGTGATATTCAGTTAACAATGTTTTTGGTAGTTCAAATGATGAAAACCTCAGTCTGTTATTAGGTTTTAAAATAAAATCGCCAATAAAAATTATCGGCAGTTTCAGAAGATAACTTTAAATTTTATATGAAATAAGAAAACTCATAGGTAGAAGAAATGTAGAATGCAAAACTAGTTATTACTTTACGAAAGTAATAACAAAATACTTGGTTTACTGTTGGAGTGAAGTAACTTAGAATACAAATGATAAAAGACTTGAAGTTTCCCATTTCGAAATATGACGCCAGTTAATTTTCCTTTAAAATTAATTAACGTCTTTGAGTGTCTCAAGTCTAGACATATACAGATATAATAAAAGTGATTATTGTTTCATATTTCTTGTCAATGCCGTAGATTAAATAATGCAATGCCACTGCGCACATATTATATTACTATTTCGTATCACATAACATAATAATAGATTAATTTATGACTTATCGATATTATAAATAATAATAACCGTAATATTAATATGGCAACAAAATAAATTTACTAGCTAAGCACCTAAACCAGTAGGATTTTTAAATGGTATTTACACAATCATTTCTGTACATTCAACCCTTACGTTAGCATATCACTGGCGACTAATCGTTATACTTCTATTATAAATTATTGCCAATCATCTAGAATTAACAACATTTAAAGTTTCTTCAAATGATATAATATCTATTTATTATGACGCTAAATTCAGGATTTACCAATATTTTTAAATGCTGAAGTTTTGTAAAGCTTCCGTTACGAAGTATAATCATTCCCTAAATCTATATAGAGTACCAAAGATATATACAAAATGAAGACAATACGATATGCACTGTACATTTCACATGCATCTAAACGAACAACCTTTTACAGCAACATTGTTTGTTCAGCATTACATGCTCCAACGATTGATCACAATTGTCAACTAAACCTAAATTCAAATACTGACAAGTAATAGGGTTCGACGTTATTGTAGTAATAGGGTCAACCATATTTGCCAGTCACAAATTGCCCTGAAAATGTTGCTCGTTTAAATACTACAACAGACTTTTAAACGCATAATTTAAATGCTAAAAGTCTCCAAGACCATTAATGAGATTCCGATAATAATATTACGTAAATCAGGATTATATCTATCCTTGGATTTAGGCGAAGAAACTTTGATACTAGTTTGAGACTAGCTACTGTATTGTGCTTCTGTGATGCCGCTCACACTGAACGGTGTCAAGCTAAAATTTGTAAACGTTTGTCTTTTACTATCAGACTAACTTAACTACTAAAATTATAGCAGTCACTGGACGTGATTTGCACACACCACTTCACACACAATGATATGGGGATTCTTGGGTCTCACCGAAGTCGTGAAGAGTCTCAGTCACAAGAGTTCGATGAGAGCGCTTAGATCAGACAGTACCTGATCGCAGTCACCACAGCTGCACTGACAACGACTGATATAAATGGTCTTGACTTCGTTGCATACGATGTTTTTGGTACTGTTGCTGTATATGTTGGCTCTTCCCCAACAAACGTTTTGCTTCCTGTGAACGGATTTATATAATAATAATCTCAAATTATATATAATAGCAATCGTATTGCAGTATAATTGACGATACCAGTTACTGCTTAAAATATAAGTTAACATGGCTAATAAGGGTATGGATTATGAAAATTGAAGTTGGTTTCAGAAGCGTTAGTTAGGTAATTTACTAATCTTAGACAGGGAAATATCCGTGTGCCGTTTAAGTAAGATCGCAATATGGACATAAATAACGTCAGGACTACCATACAAATGCAATATTAGTCCAAACAAGTAGAAGAATCAGAAGAAGTAGAAAGTATAAAATCATTATTTTAACAGACAACTTTAACCAAAGGTTACATTTCTGACAATGCTAAAAATAAAGAAATCCCATAAATAAAGATGTTGCACTTACCCTCCATGCCAGATCCCGTGTCGCCGGAGCCTTGGTCATAAAAGCTGTCATCGTTTCCTTCGTCGCTGTCGTAGTTTTTGCCAGAGCCTGAACCTTCCTCACCAGCCTCGTCGCCCTGCATAAACGCTTCGGCAGCTGGCGCACCACTTCTCTTCGAATATGTCACCAGCAACTAGTAACAAAAGTTATAAATCCTAATTTTTATATAGCCTTTGCAGTTAGTAGCGTTTGATAGGTTTTATCGGTGATTGCGTCATTGAGTGAAATTGAGATTAAGGTAAATTTTTCATTACTAGTATTGCCACTCAGGCAACGACTGATTTTAATATTTTTGTCTGATCAATCCTCTCAAGTCACAAACATCTCTAAATCAAAGGTTTAAAATGGAATAAAATATTTAAACAAAACGGGATAAAATAATTAATTAATGGCTCGTCTTGTAAAGTACTAAAAAAAAGTATTTAAAATGTCTTGTGAAATATATTTTGTTATAGTAAAATGCCATGAATCCCTTAGGAATTTTATCAATTTTGTTGTAAGCGAAGTGGCTTTTAGGGAGCAGACGCCAGTGCCTAAGATTCCCAGCCGTTTAAGATTATGTCTTCCGAATCTGTTGGTTGTGAAATTTTAAAGTAGTTTTCTTTAGTAGTCACTCACCTGCCTAGCTTGTCGCAGTCGATCTCCCAAAGCTGCCACAACGGAGCTATCTCCGTGTACTCCAGTCACCTCAGGGTTATACTTCTGGTCGGTAATTGACGCGGAGGCAACCAGAGGCTTTGTATACCTAGTGGAAAAAATACACTTCATATATATAAACTATGTCTGATTAAAGTTTTTAAGCTCCATTAATTTTTTTATTAAATTAACCCAAAATTGATATTTCCTTCAAACTGCGACAGCAAGAGACAATTTATTCCCATTTGTGAAGCCACAATACCTCCCATAGCTTCACGTCATCACAAACATTCATTACATTCTTTGTTTGTGTCTTTAAATCAAGCAAAGAGTAATTTACTCCATTTACTTTACTATTTAGAATTGATTCAAGACACTTGTTGAAAAAGCATCGGCAATAAATATGCTGAAGTTTCAATCGAAATGTGAACTACTCACTCTCCAATGGATTCGCCGTTCCAACAGTGCTTATTGTTCTCATCTTCGATTTCACACAGCTGATCGGCCAGTGTGGCAAACAGTTTTTTGTTTCTGGCTAGCGAGGCCGCGAAATGAAGGAGTTCCGTGTATGGAGGTGGTGCTCTTAAAGCATTTCGTCGTGCTCCCGTGGGTGGTTGCGAGGAAGAAATTGGCGTATCGAAGGTGGCTGGCGTCCCGCATTCTTGACGAACCTGATGACAAAAGAATTCAAAATAAGATAATGTTTTGCTTCAGCATTTCAGCAAAATAGGTTAAGATGACAAGTTCTAGGCCAGACTGGGCAAACGTCTGAGAAAGTCCCATCACTTAGGCTGTAATTTTTAATTTTATAATCTTACTTTTCCCATTGTCTGACATCACGAACTAGAGACCAGACCTGTTCGTTCATGTGACAAGACATGATTTAAAATGAATAAATATGAAATATATTAAACACCAAATTTGACAGTTTTGTATAAAATTCGTAATAACAGATCGCTTCCTTAAAAACATTAGACCCCTTATTAATATGAATAGTACGCAAGGATTAGTTACTCCATGTTTTGTTCTCCGTCTATTGAATGACAAATGGCATTTGAGTGACATGAACATATCATGGCGTAACCAGTCTAAGCTTATTCCTTGTTTATTAATAACGGAGTAAATGTTTCATACAAATGTCACTATTTTAGACCCCCAGTTCGTTATCCTGTGTTGATATATTCTGAACCATATTTGGCTGTTTGTTAGTAAAGTTTGTTTTGTTGACGTTTCTGGCACGTTCAAGTGACGTGTTGGCTCCATCACTGTAATTCTACATATACATTTTTTGGAATAATTTTGACAAATGACTTTACCTACAACACCTGATGTTGTGGTATTTTTTTAATTATAGTCGTAGGTATTGTTTGGTCTTTGTTCTGTCCCCGTATGTTTGATAAACTGCTTTAAATCCAATTAATGTGGACTATATCAGTAATGAATATTCCTCTATTTTAATATTGTTAGAACACAAGTGGCCATTATAAAATCATATTCATCAACACATCCGTAATAGGTATTTAGTTAAAAACAGTCTTTGTATTCGAAATTCGGTTTAGTAATATTAGTACACTATTAGTATATTTCATAGTCATAATTATGAAAATGTTAAAATCGAAAAAATGTACATAGCAGATATTGGTTTGACAATGAAGATGGTAACGAAAGTCGCGAAATAGAAGAGTTGGTTTTGCTTAAATTACCTCTCATCTGAAGTGGTTTAAGTAATTTTTCTATGTATAGGGACCTGTCTACATTGGATTGAGCTAGCTAAGTGCGCGGTGTACCAAAGCAAAAGCAGATCTTTGTCTTTATATTTGGCGCCCACACATAAGTTATTGTCTCAACTGTTCTGGCTAACACGACATGTTTGATGTATACGAAATTTCTATGTTAATGCGTTGATCAATCCTTTTGATTGTACTCGTCCGTAATAAGTTCGAGAAACTGGTTAGGTATGTGCTGCAGATGATGGTACTGAAAAAGCCAAGACAGATGATACATTTACCCTACGAATATCGCTCTCAAAGCTGCGTAATAAAGGTGCAGTTAATGTGAAATTGTGTCTGATGAGACTTTGGGTGTACATTGCAAAAACGAGAGATATAATCAGTGCGTTCCAAGCACGATGAAGATAAATTGCGCCGCTGTCAATGGTCATATCATTTGTTAGCGACGCCGCCCGCGGTCTCATCTGATAGGTGTGATGGCGGCAGCAGTCACCATCTTTTTAGATGCCACATTCTTGATGGCAGGAATTCTCGACGACCAGTGCATATTTTTTTTTTTTTGGAACACGTATATCGACACTGAAGGGGCAGACAATACAAAGCACTTCGTAAATAAACAGATTAAAGAAGACGTTTATAGAACACCTTTAAAAATAATAAAACAAATTAAATAACTCCTAGTAAAATAATAAGCTGATGCTTATTTATGTAGGAAACAACTGAAAAATCAAGTTATGTTGTTTTTAGTTCTAATGTTATGGACACAAAACATTGAAAATACTTGTTACGGTATACAGCGCGATTTTTTTATTTTTCCTAACGTTATGGATCTATACTTATAATCCATTTCAATCAGATTGTTGACTCATTTAGAGTCGTGACGTTACAAATGAATGTCAGACTGTTGTGTTTCGTGTGCGGAAACAGCGTAATCCGCGCGGGTGCACGCTACGAGAACACAATGTATAGAAAGTACAGAGACAAAGTGTGTGAGTGAGCACTGTCGGCTGTCGCGTAATGCCTCTCTCACATCTGCACGACGAAAATTAGCGTTCGAAGTTTGAATTTAGCTCTATAATTCGTAATGAAGGAGGTTCCGTGTCTATAGATGCTGGACGATAGCTTGACTGGCGATATTTGACACGCATAAAAGAGGTTGTAGGAGACTATAAAATATGTGCAGCAGAAGGAGCGTATTTACGATGGAAATCATTTAAATTTTGTACGTCAATTTTAGCGGATTTCATTACCAAAGTTAGGTCGCGCAGCTGTGGGAGGAGCATTAGGACAGCAACGTTTCTATTGGCTGCGGCGACAGGCTGCCAGTGCTCACTCACATACGTGTACTGCATGTAATTTTGTATCTGTGCCTTCTTTACTCATGTGGTAGCGAGCTGCGCGGGCGCGCGTCGTGTGAACGGCCCCTGTGGCTCGCGACAAACGCAAATAAACCAACCGCTGCGACGCAAATAGGCGCATAGTAGCAAGCAACCGACACGTTGCAGATATTCGCGGGAGTAACACTCTCGTTAGCATTCGCTTTGCAATCGGTGCAAAGGTCAAAGTGCGCATTTCAATATTTATTTATACTCTAGCTCTAGCTAGACAATAGACGCTGCGTGCCTGCATAATATGTTGTTGCGAAATAGGTAGCTATGGAAATAGTAAAAAGCCAAATTTGGAAGATCTTCAAGAAATGTAGACCGCTTAAATCTAAAAGAATCTAGTAAAATGTTCTCCAGAAGTAGCTATAATGGTAAAAAAATATTCTTGTACACCGTGTTCGATTGATCTCCTGCCAATCATCATCATTATCATATCAGGCGAGATACGCCCACTGCTTTACATAGGCCTTCCCCAAGGAATCCCAAACTGATCGGTCTTGCGCTGCCTGCAAACAGCGCCTTCCCACGGGAAAAAAGGAAGGTCACGACCTTCATCAGATCGTCAGTTCACTTTGTGGGGCCCTGCCAATGCTGCGTCTCCCGGTACCCGGCCGCCACTCGCGGACAATTTCGCCCCAACGGCCGTCAATCCTCCTTGCAATGTGCCCTGCTCACTGCCACTTAAGGCTCGCAATTTTTTGGGCTGTGTCGGCGATCTTAGTTCTGGGGATCTCATCATTTATGATTCGATCGCCCAGAGAAACCCCAAGCATAGCCCTCTCCAATTCCCTACGGGTGTGTTTGAGCCTTCTTATGAGGCCCATTGTAAGCGGCCTAGTCCCTTGCCAATATATTGGATGAATATAAGAAAACCAAATTTTCTTTATTTACACCGATTTGTGTGTTTGGTTTTATTTTTTTTAATTTCAGAGTTTTAGTAAGTTTCTTTGAGATCAGTAAGATGTATGCAATATTGTTCAATATTAATTTATTATGTTTAATGCTTTTGCTAGGAAGGTACGGTTCACAAAAGTTCGTTCGTATATAGTTGGTTCGTTTCTGCTCCGTTACATCAAGGTGGAAATTTCCTGTCTTTATACTCATCCTCTGTCAGCAATTGCGTATTCACATAATATTAATTAGGTATGCATGCCATGAGAGCATCGTTGATTCATACGAACATTAGGTTATTCATGTGTTAATTGACGGTTCACAGAACACAAAATAAATGAACGCGAAGTCGTCATGTCGTAATGTAGTCGAGATAGAGATTTAGTGTTTTATTAGATTTGTTAATAAAAGTTATTCCAAACCTTTGATGCTGCATTACTCCGCATGAGATGCTGGATTTAGCATAAATGAATGAATTCACTTAATATAATTTAGGGCTTAGTTAAATTTAATTTAAATTTGTTTTTGCTTCGGTCTTTACCCCAGGACTTTACGCACATGATTTCATTTTATCCTACATACACGACCGTCACAACATACAACTTCCAACCTTGAGCTTTCCCCATTCAGTGGCTCTCTCTTTCTTCGTCAGTTGATTCTCAAAGACTGCCGGAATATTTCAGCCGGGAAAAGAACTACACCATTTGAACACGTAACGGCATTCGTCGGCGGAACCTACCAACGACCCTTGCTGCCGCTTAAACCTTCGAAGGAGCTGGACCTTCGACTCTGAAGACGAACTACTACGCCCTGGCCTGTGTTGCTATCTATTACACCCCTCCCCCCTCCCCCTCACCTGCAAAATAGCAACGGCCACAGAACGGAATTTGGGCATAATATAAGATTATTTGGTACTAAGCCAATCTTTTATTTCCAAACCCACTACCTGCGAGCCATACCGGCCGCAAATACACTTTCAAAACATTTGTGATGGTATAAGACTTAGTAACTCTATTCGTCAAGTCCTCACCAATATATGTACTAATAGAAGTCTCAAACAAATGGATTACACGCGAAAGGATGTAGGATTTAGTTGTAGAGAAGTTTCCGTATAAACATAAAGTAAGGTCTCCTTGGGTGAGGCAGAGCCAAGTCCCACAGAGGCAAGGGGAAAGTTTTATTACGACGCGCTGACATCTGTCGCGGAACACCGAGGAACATGTTGACTCCAGTTCCGCTCTAATGTCGGAATATTGATATCATAAAATCGGAAAACATTCCCAGTTGTCATTTAATATTTATATAATACTGACTCTTTTATTGGAAACAGACAAAGAATAAGAAGTTGTTTGTCTATTATTATATGCCCGTAGATAAGGCATCTACTCGAATAGGTAAGTAATAATAAAAAGAAAAATCTCATACCACAATCTAATTATGACTTACATAAAAAAATATCAATTACAAAAATATTTTTCGTGAAAGCCTCTTTAATAACAATTTTGTTTTACAATAATAATAATTCTGTAACCAATATAGAATACAAGACTTACATACCTTTTTCGCGATAGTGTTTATTTAACTTTCTCTCCAACTTCTTTAATTTACGTTTTAACGACTTGTAGTCTTCACGTTTACCCATTTTTGATCTTTTATTGTACGTGA